ACACTCGTTCTCTGATAATTTTAAGAAAAACTATGATTCTTCCATTTATTCAACTTTTTCTTATTGCTAGGATGAGAGTAATTCTCTCCCCACCCTTTCTCCCCCAGCTCCTTTCTACGAGCTAAGAGGTGGAAGTACCAAGACCTTTTTCAGGCATTCAAACCTCCCATCTGGGTTAGTGTTACATTCCATACCCACTTCCTGGGCATAGAAACCATACCTTATAGAAAAGCTCTCAGCTATTATCTTTTGAATACTGTCTGTTTCTCATTTCTCTTTATCATCAGAGTCCTGCTAAGATAATTCCAGGGGAACTTTGTCTGTGGGCCGTTGTATTCCTTGGTGCTTCGGGAGAGTTCTGTGAATCATGTTGGGATAGAAGGCCCAGAGGGACTGGATTTGGTTTCTGCCAGGGTCTACCAAGCTGGGGCTACTTCAGATTTAATTTTTCTCTTGATATCTTTTTGAACTATAGGAACATAGAATTTAGACCACTCACCCACGTGATTAGTTTATAGTTACAAAGTGTCAAGGTAGTTCATTTATCTCTCTCCACCCAATGCCGAGATTGAGTGACCTGAGGAAGTTTCCTTCCTTTGTCTGGAAAGTGGATGTACATAGGCATGCTCACCCTGCTGTGAGGAAACCTCTCTGTGGTCTCAGCGTGATGTGAGGTTCTACGAGACGGAAGGTTTTCTCCTGTCTCCTCTGCCTCACAGAACCATAACAGCAAAAGACCTCCTTTTGCATATTCTAAGAGAAATTCACAGGGTGAAATTTTTCTTTGACACCTCCTTTTCATTTTTTCTAAAGAGAGTTTATGGATTTCTTCTTCCAGTGGCATCCATGTATTTCAAAATAGGTATTTTTATCCCCCTCCCCCATAGTTGTAGTTGTTTGAAATGGAAGGCCATTCAAAGTGTGGGGTTCACTATACTGCTGGGTAGGAAGCCTGTGCTGTCACGTTTTGTGATGTATGGAATGTATACTTCTCACCTACATCACTTGGCTCCACCATCCCAGCCCTGCGCAGAGGAGCCCGTCTCAGGTAGCACCTGGAAGAGAAGGCTCCACTGTTCCCCATTGCATATAAGATGAGGTGGACCATTCGTGCTGATCGGCAGAGGGTCTTTCAATCATGTACACTTAACATTTGCATCATCTATGGATTTTGATGTGATGTGGAGGAGGGTAGTGTGTGTCAGGGGTTATAGAGGACATCTGGAGACCCTGGAGATGATGTTAAGAATAATAACTAGGGCCGGCCAAATAGCTCAGTGGATTGAAGCACCTACAAGCAGGCTCAGGGGCCGAGGGTTAGATCCCCAGGCCTGCTGAGTTGGCCCTGCCTCCGGGGCGTGCTGATACTGGTTGTAGCGGCATCAGCTCTAAGGAGGCTGTAAACAGGCAGATCACTATGGGTCTGATCCAGTAGTGAGACCCTGAACACTCTGTAGACCTTTTGCTAAAGTACAGAAGAAGAAGAAGAAGAAGAAGAAGAAGAAGAAGAAGAAGAAGAAGAAGAAGAAGAAGAAGAAGAAGAAGAGGAGGAGGAGGAGGAGG